GAACCCATTACAAACATTTCTTATTTCCCACCCATTGAACTGACAAATGGTGAATATGAGTGTGCACTCATTGACTTTCATATGTACAACTCTATACCCAATGTTGATATAAATAATAATCTATTTCATATTGGTGATAAAGTAACTCAACTTCCAATTGGATCATATGAACTCAATGATATTTATGATTTTCTAAAAACTAAACTAAAAGATTATGATCTTGAGAAAACATTTCAAATGGAGAGTAATAATAACACACTTCAAGTTCATATTACAACTACCAAGAAACCTATTTATTTTAATAGAAACAACTCCATTGGACAATTGCTTGGTTTCAATAAAAAAATAATTTACCCCGACTTGAAAAAAACATATATATCTGATCAACCTGTCAACATTTTAAAAATAAACACAATACGCTTAGTATGTAATATTGTAAGCGGGTCATATATTGATAGTAGACAAGATCATTCATTATACGAATTTGGAATTAATGTTCCACCAGGCTATAAAATGAATATCACACCACACAATCTTATTTACTTACCAGTCAACACTAGAGAAATAAGTACACTCTCTATACACATAACTGATCAGAACGGTGAATTAATAAATTTACGGTGAAAACTATACAATTCGTTTACAATAAAAGAGGTGATACTTACCATCATCAGCACACTTTAAAACATAAAGTTAGAGGAAGAGGATCGAAACCAAAAAGACACACACTTACATTAAAAAATAAGTTAATTCTTAAATCATTGGGCTTCAAAGTGCGAGTTTAACTTAAGTCATGGGGTTGAATGAAATATTGGCAGTACAGGAAAAACCTTTCTCTAATGAAAGTATATCAAAGAAGGAATATCACAGCTATCAACCCTATCAACAATCATTTAAACCAAATGATGAGATGAGAATTACAATCCAAAATCAAGATTTATATGTACTCCCCCATGAGAGTCTTCTAAATTTTCAAGGAGATATTACCCTAATTAAGGAAGGGGGAGCGGTAGAAACTCAAAATGTTATTGCGAGAATGAGAAATAATTGTATGGCATACTTTTTAGATGAAATACGCTATGAAATAAATGGTGTTGAGATAGATATAACAAGATTTAGTGGTATTACTTCTACAATAAAAAACTTTGTTTCTTTAAATCAATTTGAAAGCAAGAGACTTTACAATTCTGGATGGAGTGGAGGACCCGTTTTCAATTTAACCCCCCACTTCAACTTTTCAATACCCCTTAAAAATCTACTTGGATTTGCTGAAGATTTCAAAAAAGTATTATTAAATTGTAAACATGAACTAGTACTATTATTATCAAAAAATTTTAATGATGTACTTGAGCAAGATAAATTTGAGAATGCACAATTAGTCGGAAAATATCATCTCAATATGACTAATATTACATGGAAAATTCCTCATATAACACCCAGCGATTCAACGAAAATTAAAATGTATGATATTATAAAAAGTGGAACCAATCTACCGATTGCATTCCGTAGTTGGGATACATACATTAATCCTAAACTAAGTAATGGAACAAATCATGTTTGGAATGTTAAATTAGCTGCTAACCGAGAACGTCCACGATTTGCTTTAATTGGATTTAAAGATAACCGCTATCTGATTACAAGCAATTTAAGAAATCTAAAGGTCTACTTAAACTCTAAAACTTATCCCTACGATGACCTAAACTTGGACTTTGATAAAGATCGATTTGCTCTCCTATATGATATGTATTGCAAGTTTCAATCTAGCTACTATAACCGAAGTGAATCTCCTTTACTATCACCTACAGACTTTAAAACTAAAGCTCCTATTATCGTAATTGACTTATCATATCAAAATGAAATGGTTAAATCGGGACCCATTGATGTTAGGATTTCAATTGAACTTACCAAGCCCGCTATCGAAAATGTTCAAGTATATTGCGTGCTCATACATGATCGTTTAGTTGAATATAACCCGTTGAATGGTCTAGTTCAGCGGATTGTCTAACAATTAATCAATCAATCATGAGTGAAGATATTGTTGCAATTGATGTTCAAGGATTTCTTGGGAATAATAATACATTTATTCTAAAAGAAATTGGTGTGGTATTCAAAAACGAGACAATCTTGAATTCTAATTTTATCATACACTCTCCACATGATTTTATTGAATTCAATAAGAAATGTAGAAAACAGCTACTTGGCTAACAAAAAAACATCACAAAATTTATTGGAATGATGGAGTATACTTCTTCAAAGAAACACAAATGTATTTAAGAGAAATAATTAGAAAACAGGAAATAATTTGTAAGGGATATCAAAAAAGGTTATTCCTACAAAAATTTTTAAAAATTGATAATGTAATTAACATTGATGAAATTGGTTGTCCCTCTCTAAAAATAATGGATGGAAATCACTTTCCATATTGTTCATTACATGCTCGGGAGGGTGTCTGCTCTCTGAACAATGCTCATAAAATCTTAAACTTTTACACAAACGAAAACTCCTAACACCTTTTAACCATTCATTCACATTTTGAGTGTCGGGAAAATAAGTTTACGAAATGACTGATTCTAATAACAATCTTAACATACCGACTTATTCTTCTTTAATAAATAAAATTATTTTTTTTATTAATACATTTGGAAATAAGATTTCAAAAGAGGACTTGAAATTACTACTGGAGACAAGGAACATGTTCATGGGTACTGACGTAAAGGAGTTTATAAAAACAACATTTGGAGAACATTTAAATTTATGTACATTTTCTAATGATAATATAGAAACTTGTGCTTGTTTTCATTTTGTAATTCAACAATATAGAGTTAGAAAATTAATTTCATCATATATTGAAATTCTAAAATAAAGAGAAAACCAAAAAAAAAAAATTTTCTATTGTTTTGAATTTGTTTTCGAGGGTGGGTCTATCATCAGCTGTTGCATTTTTTAACATCTGTTTTCTAAGTATAATACAACGATTTATCTCTACCAAACTTTAGTTGAAGATAAACATTCAGACTATTACGTTGAGAGAAAAAATGATTTCCTCAAAAATTGAAGAGTTCTTAAGGGAGCATGGAAGTGAGATCTTCAAGGAACATGCTACGAAATTGAAATCATTTCATACATTTTTTAAAGATGTAGAAGCCACCCCAGTAATTCATTCAAAGTATGGAGAACACCTATCATCCTGTGCATGGGCATATGATGATTGTAAAGTTGGACCTGACACTTGCATGTGTATGCATGTTGAAAAGAAAGAAGAAGACGCCTTAAAATTGTTGGAAAGATACATTCATTTATTTAAAAGACTCAATGTAAACTAATTTAACACGAATATGATTAAATAAAAACTTATTAAAACCAACACAATCGCTTGTTTTTGTGTATACTCTGTTAGGAACCACCACTACAACCACCACCACAAGCCCCACCACCACCAACACCCCTCTTACACTCCTACGCTCACTTTCCCATCTAATGCTCGCTAAAGAGGGGGAGGTTACCGAACTCACGCTTGTTTCACACCACAAAAGTATGCGATCTAATATCCCTCAAACCAACACCTTTTGACCACACGACCGCAGACACGTTACACTAACAGATGTCAACTACAACCCTAATTGAATCAACAAAACGCCTCACGCTTGTTTCTGCGATCTAATATCCCTCAAACCAACACCTTTTAAACACAAGACCGTAGACAGTTTACACTAACAGATGTCAACTACAACCCTAATTGAATCTACCCTATTAAAACTATCCCTAATTGAATCAACCAAACGCCCACGCATAACAAAACAACTTCCCTTCCTCCTCCTCCTCCGCTAAAATATAGTTTTACAAATTCATACGAATGACAAAACAACGTGTTTGTGTATATTCTGTTAGGAACCACCACCACCACCTCCACTATAGAATTGAAACATTTAAGATTACCCTCCCCTTAACTAAATACAAGTTAGAAGCAACATAGTGACCTTCGTGCAACCATTACACCCCTACACACCCTATTCGGGTAAAGATCACTCTAAACAACCATAAAATCCTACGCATGACAAAACACACCTATCACACACACACACCTTTAGGGTGAGAAAATGACAAGACAAAACAAGACATATCAAAACACCCCTCTCTCACACCTCTACACACCCCTTAAAACACCTGCGTGCAACCATGCGTGACCACCTGTCACCTGTGTGCAACCATGCGTGACTGATTAGGGTCACCCCCACCCCAAAGTGAGCCAGCTCCCGTATTAATCTACTACTCTCGCACTGCCGTCCGCTCTCCCTCTCCATCTCTCCCCTAAGTCTCCGCTCTGATCTGGAGCGCTTAAGCTAAGTTAGGCCTAAGTAGTTCTTATTTCAAAGTGTACAAATAAACATATATGCACGTCGCGTAAAAACCCCAAAGTACCCCCGTGTTTTTATGCGTACCATTCGATCTTGGGGCTTCACCTATTTCAGCGATCAAGACACCCCGCCCCAACAATCAATATCCATCTACATTAAAAAAATGTAAATGAGACCATTCAGTAAAAAGTATGTTCTTTGTATATCACCAAGTACCTTACACTCCCCTTAGCTGAGTAACGGGTATTTGATAGTAGATGGCATTTAGTCGACGCGTTCTCTCTTTTTTTCTGTTTACCAACGCATGTTTCTATGGGCGAGAAGTACTATTTGCTCCAACAAATAGTATACATAAAAAATGTTCAGGCAAACTAAAAATGTGAATATCGGTGCGACGGAATGCTAAGGCAAGACTACTGTTTGTAAATTTATTTAATTTAATAATTTTAACCAGTTACCTTTTAATTAATTCCTCATTATCATCTTTGATCACGTTTAAACATTGGTTATGTTATTGATACTTCATAACCTTAATAATCGTACCGCGATTGCTTTCTGCCATTACCAACCATTAGGACTACTGTTCATATTTATTACAAGCCCCAGCTATGAGAAATTGTGAGGTGAGGAACATTGTTTCGTTACCTGATTGTTATGTGTCCAAAGCACTGAAATAGGTGGGTCTGGCAAGTGTTTCACCACACATGTTAAATTAACCGTTGATTCCAAATCAATATAGGTCTCTGGTCCTCCGAGAATAGTTGTAAGAGGCTCTATAAATATGAACATGAATTCGCAAAAGTTTAAGCGCTGTATATCACATTAATTCGTTAAAAAGTAGATATGTTAGATAGAGGGAAGTGTTTCCAACCCCTCTAAAGTTTATATAATCTTGACCTAGAAAGTTAGCATTAGGCATGCAAATAAAAATTTGGAATTGTTTTCTAAGCCAAAAAACGTTGGCGGGCTAGGCATTTTTAATTTGCAAGTCGATCGACTCAGCCTAATTTAAACCATTTCACTCTTTTGGGAGCAGTCACTCAATTCAAATTAAATCACTATTTGTTATTTGGTCAGAATCATTGACAACAACAACGTAAACAAAAGCTTGCTGGATTATCTATTTTGCATGCGGATAAGCTGAGACAAGCGCATGTGAGTTGCTGATCTCCCGGCTCATCTTCATTCGTTCGTTATCGTTTTCGCAACGCAGTCGCATCGCTGCAGAAATAACCACTTACCAAAAATTAAACTATCTCGGCTTTTCATTTAGCACCATTGTGGCATCGCATACGTTTTTTTGTTAAAAATTCGGTGGCATAAATTAAGGTGCCCTCAAAACATTGGTGACCCCGACGGTATCGTGAACGTGTGTTAAAGTTGAGCAATTATTAAATATCGTTTTAATAATTCTAAGCGCCTCTTACACAAGTCGGTGTTAAGGGCCACACACACAAACTAGATTCGCATCGCCTTGCACGATATTCCCATAATACATATGTACATATTTACAGCTAGCATCGGCTGTTGTACAGTTCAACATTTTTACATAACGCCAATTCCGTTGTACCCTCGATTTCCATCCTCGCTTTTCGGTGGCTTTAGTCAAGTGCATCGGAAAATTCATAAAGTGCTCTCGTATACTCTACCCAAAAATAATTCGAAATGGCGAAAAATAATAAAATATCGACCGAGCATGTGCAACATGTACCAGACAACTAAGATTTATATTTATTTATTGGGCAAAGGCAAGCTCTGAGGTACGCCAGCTTGCGGCATTAAGTTCCTTTTTGAGTGATGAACACTTGGCCGAATTCGACAAAAGTGAGTTGCAGGTGCGGTTAGATTTAGTCGAGCGAATAAATTCCGACTTCGACTGCTTTCAGCTTAACCTCGAACGGCTGATGATCAAGGAAATGGAATCCGATGCGCCTATTACATTTACGACAGCATATTGTGAAACCAAAAGAAAAATTTGCCACCATCTTAATAGTGAGAAGGGAAAGTCTCTGACAAATTAAACTGAATTGACGACTACCGGAATTTCAGATTCCCCGATTTGATGACGGCGCAGCGTTGGACACAATTTGGAAGAATTTTGACAGGACCTTGAAATTATTAACTATGCGATTTCTGCCAGGTGTGGAGAAGGGATCCGCATGTAGTTTGCGGCAGTTGAGCGACAAGGCAAATGCATACTTGCGCGCCCTTACTACTATGAAAACTACGCTGGAGATTCTTGACGGCCTTTTAATCCATCTCATCGCTTCGAAGCTGGACCACCAGGTTCAGGAGAGATGGGAGGAGGCCTTGCCAAGGAGTTGTCAAAATGGAACAAATTTTTAACATTTTTGGAGCTTAGATGCCGCATGATGGACAACCTTGAATGTGCTATGGTAAACCAGGCACCTAGCAAACAGGTGGGATAAGTAGCTAGCGAATTTCTTCTCAGCACCCTCAATGCTTAATTATCAACATTGCCATTTTGTACCCTATGCGAGTCTAAGGAACATAATTTGTAAAAATGCCCGCAATTTTTAGGATTGACTCCCACTCAGCGGTATAAAGAAGCGAAAAGGCTGCATCTTTGTTTAAATTGCCTAGGAAAGGGACACAGCCTACAGAAAATGAGGTCTGGCAACTGTAGAAACTGCCGCCAGAAGCATCATTCTCTTCTTCATATGGAGTCGAATCCCTTTAACCCCTCCGCAGCCTGGTCCTGAAATGCCACAACATATCTCATCTTTTGTTTCTGTAGCCTTTTTCAAAACACCACCTGTAACCTTGTCGCCAAATAATACGGAACACGTGTTGCTCGCTACCTCCATAGTATATGTCGAAACCGTTCTGGCGTATTCGTACCATGCCGGGCCTTGCTCAACTCGGCCTCTAAAGTTATCTTCGTCACCTCACGCTTCGCCAATCAACTTCAACTTAAAATCCATCGCTCAACCATTTCTATATCAGGAATTGGTGAATCATCGCTAGCATTGGATAAATCGGTTTATATTTTTGCACAATCCAGTGACGCAAAGCATCCGAATGGAAAACATAGGAAAATCTAGAGCTCGCCGACCCTCTCTTCTAAAAAAGTCAGCGCATCGACAGCTTATTGAAGCTTCGAGCTGCTTTGTATTGGACAAATTCGTTTAGGAAACCATTTACCCACCCTGCAGAAAACCAGACTTGGCTGGGTCATCTCTGGGTGTCTAAAGGCGGGAGCCTCTACGCGCTTATCTTTAGTTTCTTCAGTTCAAAAACCCAGCAATCAGTCGGATTAAGAGTCGAATTCTAATATACTAAAAAGATTTAGGGAAATTGACAGTTGCCCAGATTCTACAACAACCATTTTGAAGGTACGAAGCTCTTTACGAGCAGCTATTTCAACAGCAGTACACTCGGATGGAATCTGGCCAATATTAGGTTCTGCTTCCTGCCAAAACTAGTTTCCATGCTCTGAGAAATTCATACGATCGTTCGCTCCTGCGGTTTAAGGCATTCGAGGCTAAATTAGCCAGACATTTAAATCTAAACTCGCAGTACACAGCCGTTATAAAGGAATACCTCAGCCTTGGCCACATTTCTCTAGCATCTAGAAACGCGGCAGCGCATCAATACTATCTGACCCATCATTGCAAAAAGTGGAAAACACCACTACGGAGCTGCGAGTTGTTTCGATGCTTCAGCGAAGTTCACTTCGGGATGTTCTCTGTATGATTTGTTGTATTCGAACTACGCATCCCCACCAGTTTCTTCAAGGTATCTTATGGCGCGATAGACCCGAAGACGAGATTCAAGTATACTCGCTTGACACCGTAACGTACGGCACTCAGCCCGCTGCGTTTTTGTTGATTCGTGCAATGGAGCAGCTATCCTATAATGAAGAAGCGGAGTTTCCATTAGCAGCCAAGAACATACGCACAAACTTTAACGTGGATGATCTTATTTCAGGAAGAGATAGCATTGAAGAGGTTGTTAATATTCGTCAACAAGTTAAGGAACTCTTGGACAGGGGACATTTTCCGAGTCGCAAATGGTGGTCCCACGAGCCTGCGGCGCTAAAAGGAATAGATGAGTCGGATCGGGAAAAGAATTTAAAGTTCCACGACGGAACAGATGTTACAAAGGCGTTGGGTTTGGCTTGGGATACTTAATCGGATAATTGCCTCTTTAGCTTCTCAAGCGGGGGGACAGACCAACCCGCAACACAGAGCTGATTTCTGTCGGCTATCGCTAGATTTTACGATTCCCTTCTATTAATAGTGCCGATCATCACCAAGTAAAGATTTTTATGCAGGTCTTATGGAAATATAAGCTTGACTGGGATGAGTCCTTACCGCAATCAGTACACTCGTCTGGGTTGGATCACATGTCACTGATCGCAACAGTTGCTTGCTTGACGTTTCCACGGTATGTTTTACAGCATAATTTATCCTGCAAAATACATAAATCTTGTGATGCAAGCATTGTGTTGTTTTATCGAACCTGGAATGCTCAAAGTCAAGAGTTGAACCCTTCATTGTTGGTAAGATTCAACAATCGTTTTGGCATGGATCCGTCAACCTCCTTTAGACCTTAACATTTTTGTCTCGAACAGTATTTCACAGATACAAGAGAAAACTAAAGAAATGACCTGCATCGTGCTATACCCCCTGCATGTAGACCTCGAGCACAAGTATCGTGGGCTGCCAGCTTGCAGAAGGATGCGAAAGTTGTTAATACGCAATCAGTTACTGCTAGGACATCATTGTTGCATTCGGCTACTACGTTGTTCTGCAGTGTCAGGATCGTGTGTTGGTGTAATACGGGAAAGATTGTGACCTTTTTACATGTAATTTTAATTTTAGGATATGCAATCAGCACATGGATGATATTATCGGACTGAATAACTTTAATATTAGATGCCTCTAATAGGCTTATGATAGGGACCTGTGTGGGGTGATCTACTAATACAGACTTCAAATCATCGTGGTTAAAAATGGCCGGGTTTATAATATTGGCTTTAGCAAGTGTTACTGTGAGCATTACAATTTAAACCTCGGTTATGAATATTCTATTTCTGGCCAAAAGAACATCGTATAAGTGTGAAGTGTCGAAGCAACAGTATCTGTGAGCTTGTTGATTTCAATCAATTAAAATCAGATGCGTCAGGTGTGCCCGCTACCACTTTATGTGCGGTACCTAGGAAGTCTAGACTCCTGGCCATCCTATGGTGTATTTTTAACACGGACAATAAGCTTCTAATATGGTCAGTGTCGACCTCTAGCAATTTTCGCATGTGCGGCTGTGGAATAAATCGGACAACTTATCAGTTTCGTCTATCATTGATGAGAAATCCGTTAAATTGCTTGAGTGCCGCGTGTCCTTGACAGGTATGTATTGGGCGTCTGTCACTCTAGCGTTAACTACAGCTAACGTTATTAATACAATTCCTGCGATCCTGTAAGAAAGCGAAAGGTTAAAACTACTTTGCACCTTGTAGGGTAAATATGTGTAAGTATCGGGTGCGTGAGAGCAGATAGAAAAATTAAAAGGAGTTTTATCTGAGGTTGTCCTTATGGACCACCCTCCCTCTAATGAGAACAGACGTTCCCATGTCTGCTTGTACGCGCTCTTCTGTGTACAGTGGAGCTAGTTTATTCCCTATCCTTTTGTTATTTCTAAGGTATACTTTTTCTCCTACCTCTAAAATTCGATTTTGTCTTGTTGGGTTGAACCTATTTAGATTAGCTTGTTGAGCTTTTTCGATTTTTCGTCTCATTGCCAACCTTTGTTCATCGCTGGCTGAG